ACAAGTCATTTTAATAGATTAAAATTTCCAAAAACTCGTCGCAGCGCCTTGATTATCACAGCTGACAACTAGTCCCACTTATTAACGGCTTTGGCTTGCTTTATCAGGTCGCCAAAAGCAGTCATCTCCGCGGTTTCAGAAAAAGTGAGGTTCAGGTTTGGCCGGAGATTGCTACGGTTACACTCATATACTTTTTCAGTTCTATCTTAAACAGGGGCATCTAACTTTTCGCTCATCTTGGCCTTTAGCGCGACTTTTAACTAGTTCTGAAAAAGACAAAGCAAAAGTGATTTAATTAACTCAGGATTATAGGTTGTGAGAAATATTTATAAAGTTTGAGGTTCCCTAGAGTTGTCTTTTGTATTCAATTCCCCCTCCCCTCACCATCACTTTCTTTCCTCCAAATAAACAACGTAGATTATTTTATGAACCACCAGTAATAGAGTGTACTCGCAAAATGTCTATTTTGCGTAAGAAAGGCCTTCTTTAAATGTTCGAGCAATGAACTGGTCTTCTTGCTGTGCGTGAAACAGCTAGCACGAATGCAATATTGACATTTTTACGCAAGGGCCATGCAGAATTCAATGTATAAGAACGAAGTGATGCCTCGTAATTTGGCGCCCAATGGAAGCACTCTTTACGGAACCGCTTGTATAAAAATAACAACTTTTCAACCATAAAAACAAAACCAAATAACACCACTTTTTGGGGGGCCACTAAATTTATTGATTCACTCCGTTAGCGTTGATTGTGCAGCGGTATGCGTTCATTACGCGACACTGTTAGCACAAACACGACATCGGTGCTTTTTGCTATTTTCCCCAGCAATGTATTGGCTCGCACTAAAATCTACAGCTTAGGTGGGATACTCGCATTAGCAGTTTCCTAAACATCGTTCACTTCTAACAAGAAAAAAAAGTGGGAAACACCGGCGATAGTTTGTTCGTGCTAACTGCGTGGCGTAGGGCAGCGGCGTAGACTTTCCCTTTTACCGGGGGGGGGAGTGCTGCGCAAAAAGCTTCTCGCCAGAACTGGAGATTGTAGCTAACGTTTTAGCACGCTGGGATTCTATTTCCCCTGTATTTTTTCAATAAAGAAAACGTGGGCGTTATTTTGTTTACATGCCACTACTAGAAGCTCGTTACCCGGCGCGTAAACAGCATTTCGGTCAGGATCATGGCCCAAACCTGGGAAGGGGGGGGCCTTCTGCCCCCCCCCCCCCCCCGCCGAATCTCGCTGGGGGAAGCACAAGCCCCGGTGCCCCCCCCCCCCCCCCCCCCCGTAGTCTACGCCTATTGCGTAGGGTACCTAAATGTTTTTCACAAATGTTAAATACAATTATGTGTCACATTAAAAACAAGTGTCTGCATTTGCTTTGGTTTCTTTGAGACACCACAAATACTTAGAAGTGGCGGGCCCGTACTATGGTATCAATACAAGCAACGTTGAACCATAACTCGACACGCTAGACTCACCAAAAAGGGGTTTAATATTGTCTTTTCCGCTCCATAGCCGTACTCGATAAAGATTGTAAATAGCGAGTCCAGCTTACATTTCGTTGTGGGGTAGGACCGTACGATTATCGAAGTGGCTCAAAGCGACCCACTAAAACTTTCCAATATTGAATCCACCCTTGATGCCTTCTCACCTGAGGTTGGGAGTGTGTAAATATGAATTTCATACATTTTGCTGGCCATCATGTTCTGTGAGTTAGGCACACAACAGGGCATTTTAGTAAATCGTTTTCAAAGGCTTGCTGCCACTTCAGGCACGCGCTTCGGAGAACGCATTGAAGTGGCAGCGCGAGCGCCCGCTAAATATAGCGTGGCCTGGAAACATAATCTGCTAAAGTTCTTCAATAATTTGTGCTCGCTGCTAGAAAACATACCTTTTACAAGATGCCCGCGCCTGGTACATCGTTTTCTTTTTCATTGACCCCAATTTGAGGCGGGTTTGAGCGTAATAAGCTGTGTTTTTTTTTTTTTTTTTGAAGATGGAATGTTTTGTGAAGATGTAGGTCATCCTTTTGTATTCAAGTCACCACATCTGGCGCATGTGTGTTGAGCTCCTTGATCAACCGAGAATATCTATGAAACATTCCTTCAATGGGTGCGGGGATGCATCGCAGCTCCCAAGTATGCGTTTACTTTGCCACGGGCTAAACCAAAGAACTTCGAGAGCTCAAATTGGTGACTGCGAGGGCGTAGTTTTGCAGCTCCGTAAAACCTACACCCGAGGGGCTAGGCTTGGCGAGAGCCAAAAAATAGGGCGGATTACGCGATAGTAGCTGAAGATACCTGTAAGTCACGAGGTCGCTGCTGCCGCACCCATCGCCCGTCGCTCAGAAAGGGGATTTTCTCGGCTTATCCTCTCAGAAGAAGTCGGCGCAAAAGGGGACCTTTCCCCTCGCCTCACCGTGCTACAATACAAGAAAGAAAGAGGGCGAGGAGGACTTTCCGCCAGGCGGAAGAATACTTCTGCTGGTCCCCCTTTAAGTCAACTGAAAATACACCCGCATATGCGTCATCAGTTTGGCAGTTGGTTATACAAATATCAATTAACATTTCTGTATGTCATGTTATCCTAGTAGGCAAATTAATCAAGTTTTCACAACTGGAAGACTGGATTATTTCAAGAAGCTCAACATTCGAAGGGTCTTCAGATATCGGATCTATGTTCAAGTTGCCTGCTTTGACAATTTTCAAGTTAACAGCTGTAATATAATCTACTAAATGTGTAATAAAATCCAGAAAAACCCGCAATGATCCACACGGTGGTCTGTATATTGCAACCACAACCATTTTACTGCATTTGGAAACAAACAATTCATAATCATAGTTAACACGCGTGAGCTCAGGAACAATTTCATATGTTAGGCCATCACGAAAATATAGCGACACACCACCTCCTTTCCGGTTTTCACAATGAATTTTCTCACAGGTATATTTGTTGAAGCTAACAGTATCGCCAATGCCAGTAAACCACGTTTCCGTAAATACCAAAATATCAAAGTTATGATTCAGCATATTCATGAACAGTTCAATTTTGTCATTTTAATTTCTAAGGCTTCTTGCATTCAGATGAAATAAGGACATTTTTTGCTTGTTTTCTAGTGCATTATTTCTCATAAGTATATTAAAAGTATCACCATTGTAATTAATAACAGCAATCAGTGGATGACTTTTCCATTAGTTAGAAAGTTCAAAATAAAGGAAAAAGATAGAAATAAAAGAAAAAAAAAGTTTTCAATCTTCAACATATTTTTGTCAGTTCATCTTCGCTGTTGGCCCTGATAGCACTATCATCAATCTTCTCTCTTACATATATCCATCCTTCTTTTGCCATGTGTACTTATAGCTCTTTTCTTTTTGCCTCCGTCTTGCCAGTCAGAGTAGCTTTTTGTTGTGTGCCGTCAGATTTTTATAAAATTGAGGCCTGTTTCCCCGAAGCTGTCTTTTTTTTTCTGGAGCCAACGGTCTCTTGTTGCTCGTGTAGAAAAATAGATCAACACAGCCGGTGTTTTTTTGGGCTTTGTTGGCAACCTGTGTGGTTCTTTCAGTTCTTGTTCAGTTAGTGGCGGTAGGTCAAGCTCTAAGGCTAGGTCGTTCAGCTTCTGCTGTAAGGTCTCATTCACCGAATATTGTAGGCCATGAATTTCAAGGTATTGCAGCCTGCTGTATTGTTTGAGGCCATTAATTTTTCGCTTGAGCTGTTTTTGTTTCTTCATTATCAGTGTTTTCTACTTTTTGTATGCTTTCTTTAAGGTCCGTTATTTCTTGTCTTTGACTGCGCATCTCAGCAAGTAGCCCATCACACTTGTCTGACACGTTCTGAACTTTTTTTTAATGTTCTCTACAGCACTCTTCATTTCCATAGGTGCAGCAAGTTTCTTGTTTATTTCCACCAGGGGCCCTAAACTCGTCAAACACAAAGTTGGAGCCGAAAGTTCGCGGAGCGCGCCGATTGGACGCCGGCGAAAAAAGCGCGAAGTCATGGTCGTGATAGTCCAATCAATGTGCTCCGTGAACTTCGGCCCCAACTTTGTGTTTGACGAGTTTAGAGCCGCAGCATGTTTCCTTCTTTGTGATCTTTAATTTCTTTACTCTGCTTTGATTTTTCCGGTGCCTGACCACATCTCGTTTTAGCTACTTTGCAAGTTGGGCATGCCCAAGGATTTTTGGTGACTGCTGTCTTTGCCTTAGTTGTTTCGGTTTCAGAACACTCACCAAAGTGATAACTGAACTCGCATTCAACACAAGTTAAAAACAAACCGTCTTAGGGAAGTGTCGCATGGCAGGATATGCACTCATTGTCATCATCCAATGACATAGTATTCAAGAACAGCACACTCGAAGGCTCTAGAAATGTCAGCAGCGGCAGTAGCAACAACCATAGAATGATCAAAATGATTAAAGATTGAGCACCAACTTGTAATAGCATGAAGACAGATTAGCCCAAAGAAGTAGGTGCCACTGCCACTGCTGACTGCCTGTAGATGAGTGGTCCCGTGATGCCCTTTTCTTATATTCTTGCTTGGTTATGGCGAGGGGCATGCCAGTGTCGGTGATTGTCAATCGCTTGGCTTTCTGTGGCGATGCTCCCGTTCCTGGGTGGAACCGACGCAGTGTTTTGCAGCGGGACATTGTAATGGCATGAAGACAGATTAGCTTGGAGAAGTAGGTGCCACTGCCGCTGCAGATTGCCAATCATTCCACTGGCATAGTTATCTCAGATTTTATCTTTTGCCAGTCTTCCCTTTAACTGATAGGAATTTTACTGTAATAACAATGTGGCAGAAAGCAAGAAAACGGATTGTGTTAAAATATGCAAGCGAGCACCCATTGCTAGGTGCACAGCATCCCATTTTCTCAATCATAAGATTGTGGGGGGGTGTGTCTCTTGTGTGTTATCCTCATAGCTGTCTGGCTAACTTGATGTGCTTGGAGGGTGTGCCTGCTTTGTTCTTAATTACGGTGATGGCTCTCTGCATTTGGTCCTAGTCATCTCAAGTGGTCCCGTGGCTCCTTTGTGATCGCCCATGCCTGCTTGCAAACCTGATCACAGCCAGCAATTTGAATGGAATCGATCCAGTCCTTAAGTCTTGGTAAGTTTTTCATTTCAACTTTTTTTATGAAGAGAGTAAAGTGGCTGTGTCTAGACCAGAGCACTGCACGGGCCCGGGCATGCTTGAAAGCCCGACCCCGGCATGCGGGCCAAGCTTGGGCCTGGCAGCTCATATTTTCTCGGGCCCGGGCCAGGCTCAGGCTTCAACAAAAAGGCATTTGGGCTGGGCTGGCCCGGTCTGTCCCTGGGCAGTCATATGCCGTAAATTCTAAATTGGTGAGAACAAAAAGTTAGTTCATTCATCTTTTAGGCTAATTGAAAACTGAAAAGGCGAAGTGCAAAGTCACTACAGTGCTGTTCACGATAACAAAAAGGTGTCTTGCAGTTATAAAGCCTTCAAGCAGATAAAAGAAAATGTATGGACTCCACCAGCATAGTGGGAGAGTTTGGGCAAGAAAACGAGGGCACTCCGGTCGCAGGGTACAACATAATTGTATTTTTCCTCTGCTTTTCAAACTAAAAAAAAAAGAAAAGCATGACCTCGACCTCATACTTTCTGCAAGGGCCTTATTATGCCACCAAAAACATGCTAACATACCCTAGATATATATATTTTTTTACAAATTCTTTTGAAGATGCACTAGTGAGGTTGCGATTGTCTTTTCTTCTAGAATCTTTCCGGGTTCGAAGTGTCCAATAGAATCGACCTATGTCCTGCCCATGTTACCAACCATCCAATAAGAAACAGACGCTTGACAAGTCCATTTTTCCAGAGAAACTTTTCTTATATTATCATTTATTTTCTATACTGCCACCCTTTGTCCCAATGGCAGCAATGGAAAGTGGTGCGCCAATATCGACAATCGGCGAGCTTATATACGCTCTTCAAACTTGTTGAGAAGACAAAATTTATGAGCTCTGTATGGGAAGAATTTCTTACAGCCTTGGGACTCTAGAACGTCGGCCCCCAAAAGACATGTTCGCTGTTGTTCGTTCAAAGTCAGAAACGTCTAATCTCAGTCGTCACAAGTGCAAGGTTTCATCGAACACCACAAGTATTTCTATTTTTTATCACCTCAATGCCCTAAACCTCCCGCACCCGCGGACGTTAAGGAGAAAGTGACAACCGCATGCGCGAAAGGTATCCATGCTATAGTCCGTCTGCTCTCAGTTCGAGGAGATAGAAGGTCTACTGGAGTCAAGGAACAATTCAGTGATGGGAAACGTAAACAAAACAACACTCAACGAGTTCATCGAGTTCCTGCAACCCTTGAAAGATGCTAGTGATGCGCTCAAGAGGAAAAATGTCCAACACTTCCTCTGGTTGTGCTTTATGCTTCCGCTTTGAAGAACCATCTTGAACATGCTCCAGTGTCTGCAGTAGAGGCACTGCAAATCGAGACGATCGATGTCCGTGCTCGTCATTTCCTGGACACGAAACTGAACATTTCTCTGCTCCACAAGACCGCCACATTTCTCTGGCCTCAGTTCTGCCAACTCCTCATGTTGCCCGAGCACGAGCGCCTTGAAGTCTATGCACACGTCAGAGAGCTACTTGCCCGTGTCACTGAAGCAATGAATCAAGATGCAGATGAAACTGACGATGACGTTCAAGATCCCGCTTCGAAAAGAAGGTGCCTGGGTTTGTTTCAAGACTGGAGTGAGGAGGAGGATGACAAGTTAGCTACTGACGAATTTGAGGAGTACCTGCACGGCAAGGAAGGACTACTTGTGCTCTGAAGTGTTTGAGCCTTGCGACTTCTGGAGAACGCACGAAAAGGGATTCCCGAAATTCTCCTTTCTATCCAAACGCTTCCTGTGCACTCGCGAGTGCTAGATGTGAACGGAACCTTAGTGTGGAGGGCTAAGTCATGCAAATAAGGTGGACCTGCCTGAAGAAAGAGTCACTGGACAATTTATTGTTTCTCTACAAAAAAAAAACATGTAGGAAGGGAATTCCTCTGTGTAACGAATTGAACTGAACAACGAAAAGTGCAATGTCTGTTAAAAAAATTCATAAATAAAAAGTTCTATTATTTTGTCTCATGAATTCTCAATGCCACGAGTTCAAAGACTCGCAAATTATGTGCATATTTCGCCCATATCTCGAAAATATATCTAAGTCGGCATATTTATTGTGTAAAAAAAATCTCGGTCCCAGTTTTCAGGCTCTGCCCAGGGTTGGGCACATATATTTAAAGTTTTTTGGACTCGGGTTGGGCCCGGGCCTAGAAATTAAAAATATTGTCGGGCCGGGGCCGGGCCGTGTCTAGAAATTCTGGCCCGTGCAGTGCTCTAGTCTAGACTACAGGTGGTCATAGCCCAAAGCAGTGCTTCTTGTACAAATCCGTGCCGATTCGAAGATCCTCCACCAGGGACGCGTCCTCGGCTGACCCCAGAGCTCAGATGAAGATGTACAAAGTGATATGGATTATGCTTCTCGGGGAGGGAAGCAAGTACTAGGATTGAAGTTTAGAGTAAGTTCATGGCAGTGTTAAAAGAGTGTGAGGCAAGGTAAATTGTGATTTTCTGTGTACGGGAAGATGAAGATGAGATAAAGGAAGAGGGCTTTCTGCAAGGTACCAAGATAACATTGGGAAACAATGAACAGAGTAGAAAGTCAGCCATTGCTTCCTGATTTTTTTTCTTTGCAAAACATGCCACAAGGTTTTATTAAAAATCTATAATTTGTGCAAACAGAAAAACTTTCACTTGTCCTTGTCATTTGTCACTCGCAATATATGTTCTTGCCCATCTGATGTGTCCATTTGGTAGTTATTGAGTATATCATATTGTTGAAAACATTCTGGTAGAGAGCAACACACTACATCTGAAGGCCAAGTGAATGTTTTCTTTAATTTTTGTGCAAACTATGGTTTTAAATAAACTTTACCATGTTGAATTAACATGAGACAGTGCTTGGAACTGAAGTAAAAGGGGCAAAATGAAATTCAACCAGTCAGATAATGCAAAACTACAATAATGACTGCTTATTTCTAAAACATTGCTATCTTTGTTGTGCTTTCCTAGTGTTCTAATACACATGAAGCCTTTTAGGAGGGGGAGCTACACTTTTGGGAGAGACCAGCTGCCCATTGAAAGCCACTGACGACATCTGGTTTGGGTGCTGTTCCTGCACCTATGTCACCAAAGATCAGCATGGTATCGTGAACCACCTGGTTGCCCATGGTGATGAACAATCCAAGAGCCAGCATCCTCCCGTGTCTTCTCACTCCAGGTCCAAAGTGCTAAGCAACACTCAAAGGCACGAAAGCATTAAGTTGTTTAAGTGCAAACTGTGTCCTCAAGCCTTTGCTAGGAATTCCCGACTGAAGAGGCATAACCAAACACACACTGGTGAAAAGCCATTTAAATGCAAGCTTTGCCTAAAAGCCTTTGCTCGGAATTCTCATTTAAGAAGGCATAATCTAACACACTCTGGTGAAAAGCCATTTAAGTGCAAGCTCTGCCCCCGAGCCTTTTCTCAGAATGGCTATCTGATCTACCATAATCGAACACACACTGGTGAAAACCCATTTAAGTGCAAGTTGTGCCCTCATGCCTTTTCTCATAATAGTGCTCTGATCTTGCATAATCGAACACACTCGGGCGAAAAGCCATTTAAGTGCAAGCTGTGCCCCCGAGTCTTTGCTAATAATTCTAATTTAAAAACTCATAGTCTAACACACTCTTCTGAAACGCCATTTAAGTGCAAGGTGTGCCCCCAAGTCTTTTCTGAGAAAGCCAGTCTGATCTGTCATAATCGAACACATTCAGGTGAAAAGCCATGCAAGTGCAAGCTATGCCCCCAAGCCTTTTCTCAGAAAATCGATCTGATCCGCCATAATCGAACACACTCAGGTGAAAAGCCATTCAAGTGCAAGCTATGCCCCCAAGCCTTTTCTCGGAATTCCAGTCTGATCTACCATAATCGAACACACTCGGGTGAAAAGCCATTTAAGTGCAAGCTGTGCCCCCGAGCATTTTCACAGAATTCACATCTGAGACGCCATAATCTAACACACTGTTAAAAAGTAATTTAAGTGGAACATGTGTCCCAAGGCCTTTTCTCAGGGATCTGATCTGCAGTGCAGATATGCACCATTTCAGTTGAAATATAAAAATGCATGCAGTACCCTAAAATGGCAGGAATGCAGTGCCTTACAAATGACAGCGATGTTCCTGTGCATTTTTTAATGCCTCTGCCTCGTGGGGCATGTGCCAAAGCAGTGGTAAACGAATCTAAGGACGAGTGCATTAATCGGGTGGCAGATAGTGGGCTTTTGCACTGTCGACTTCTCAGAACGGGTAGTTGTATATCCAGTATGGTTACCACATTGATTGTTTATGGATTCTTAAACTCTTGCATTGCTCACAAGCCTTTCATCTGAATGCTACTGTTTGTAATCACACAAATGTGTTGAGGAGTAGGGAGCAATTCCTTTTCAGAGGTGATCAAGAGGTTGGTTAGTGCAATGACAATTGTTAACTTTTTCAATAGATTGAAATAAGTCAATGTAACTCGTTTGAGGTGTTGTCTAATATGTTTGTTTTTACTCCTGTATATAAAGGATAGGCACTTGCAGAAAATAAATGTGTGACCAAAGTTTCAATTTAATTATCTAAAAAAGATGAAGTGTGTGAATTTCAATTCCCATAGTGTCTTCTTTCTGCTTTTGTGATCTGGTACTCTAGTGTGGAGTAATTTTTTAGGTTTTTATTTTTACGTCTTCTAGGATGCCTCTCCATTTTAGCAACCAACTCGGCTGGGAACCGATTTTTGAGTGTGTGTGTGCACTGCAGTGGTTCATGCTCCCAATTTGAACTTTGCTATACTCGGGGTTATCTTTTCTTGGCAGTGCAGTCAAAGGCACTGGCACTTATGCCGTTTCTAATTTTAAGCACTGATGGAACTTGCTCGTGAGCTCTCTTCTCCGAAAGGCCAAGAAAATCTGTCCCTCTAGTATAGTCGTATTCCCATACCACCAAGCTGGTTTACAATTGACAGCGTGTCAATTATTAATGCTCCATAATGCGTGTTCAACGCTGGTTTGAAGAGCGAGGTAGAGCGCTGAACTGACTTGAACTCGATCATATTCGAAGTGTTTTTGCTTCCTTCCCTGCACTGGAATCTTCATAGTCATGTATTTATATGCCACCTACGTTGAGATATCGCTCTTGTATTTAGGTTATCACAATTCTCTGTTGCTTCGTATTCTTGTTGCCGATAGTTGTTTCTGTGTATCTTTGTCAGCATTTTTGGACCGTAGGTGTCATGTGTGCCAGAAAATGTTCTTTGTACTAAAGTGTCCATTTTTTTTGCATGGTTCACTGTATCTTGTGTACTGTTGGTCAATGTGTGCCTAGTTTTGCCTTTGGTAATGCATTTGTGCATATCTTTATTGTGGATTTTGTTTCTTACTCTCGTTTGTCTCAAATAAATTCTGCAGATAAGTGTGTAATCAGAGTCCTGTATTAGTGTTCCTCGCAAATAAAGCTAGACAGTTAGAGCTTCCAGTGTTACAGTGTTGTTTTCCAGCCATTGCATATCTTAGCTGCTCTGTTGGCGGAGCAGCCCTCTGGAAAGTTCTTATTTTGCCATCGTGTGCTATGCTGAGACCTCACTGTGGCAGTTTCGTAGCCATGAAATTGACTGCCGAGTGGATGTGCATACTGCAGCAGATAAATTTGGATTGGATTGTGGTGGCCATTCCTTTTGTTTCAGGTGAATAAAGTTCATGCTCTGTCCCCCACCACACAAAAAAACTTTTTTTATTACGAATGTAAACTCTGCATAGGTGAACGCTCTTTCTCCACCCTAATGATATCCTAGTGGTCTGAACCAGATGCAGAAGCTTCAGAATTAACCGTTATCTTATTAAAAAGTTATAAGCGAATTTCTGAAGTTTTTATCGGAAAATTGCCGTCAACAAAGTTCTCGAAGCTGAAGGGCGCCTGTCACCTGAGACGAGCTAAAATGGGCCCCATTTTCCCATTGAAGTTTTAGAAAGTCCCTTATAACTTTTAAATGAGATGATGGTTAGTTCTGAATTTTCGGCATCTGGTCCAGACTGCTAGCGCTACGCTTGAGCGTTGAATGAGCGTTCGGCAATGCACAGTTTATTGTTGCAATGAAAAAACGCTACATTTATTTGTGGGAGACGCATTATCCGTGATGTGATTGCTGCGCTGAACCGTGCAAAGGGGCTAACCCTGCTACATTTTGCCAAAAATATGGGCAATCTGTGCCAAGCCTGTGCCAAAGGACCTATTTTGGTTGCCTTTCTAAACAAAACTATGCTGCCCGGAGCGCGTCTCCGACTGGTGTGCTTAGATTCCGCCCATACATCAAAAATGATGCCGAAGTGGCAACAAATGACGTCACAGAAGCCGGAGTGTCATGCTGTTGCATGTCGCGATCCTGGCGGTTGGTCATAGAAATGCTGGCGAAAAGCACCAGCGAACTCAAGTGTTGCTTTCGTAATGGCGTTTCAGTTTCTGGCTGCTGTAGCTTCCGTGGGCTGTCGCAATGGAGAGCGACCTGCAGCAGAACAGGCGTGTGCTACATCCACCACCGCTGCTGAGACACCCCCGGGGTCGCGACCGGCGAGAGCATGACGCTTCTATGACGACATCAAGCGGAAATCGAGGAAACACTTTTTTGGATGCGGTGTAAACACACCAGTCGGAGACGCGTCGTAGGCACCATAACAAAACTAAACTGAGTACCGTAATTGAGCACGTGTGAGCTAGGTGGTGCAAGCGGCCGCCATTAATCACTCATTCGGTCTTGCATTGTTTTTCATACCACGCCTCATTTATGGTTCCGCGCCCTCGGGGTTCATATCACATGAGCGAATGACGTTTTAGTGAACAGCGACATTTGAGCGAATCGACGTTTTAGCAAATAATGGGGGCGCGCGTTAACCCATCCGCCGCGCTGCACTTACGCCGCTTCGCGGTGACGGTCTGCGGCGGCTCATTACAAAAATGTGAACCCATTTAGTCCACCCAACAACGCCGCTTCGTGGCGTCTGGCAATATTGACGGCCCGAGATTTATTTCAAATTCTGCACGCAAAGTCCATGACGATCATGGAATGGTGATACATTCTTTCCCCTTCAACAAGATGGTCATACACTCTCTCCACCTCTCCTCTACGTGCCCGAAGTGGCGAGAGAGAAAACAAGTGTAAAGGGGGTGACTACCGACTAAATCGCGTCTCGCGCCGTCAAGATTGCTCTAAGAAAATTTTATTTTTACGTAAAATTAATTTTTTGACATGCGTGTCTTAACCAGACTGGTTAAATTTTTTTTTCTTTTCAGGGGCCCTTTAAAGGGACAATGAAAACAATTTTATTCGATGTTTTTTTAAATGGTGTTTTTAGGCTTCTTGGGAACATAGCATGCTGCCCAATTTTTTGTAGACATTTGTGACTCGTATTTCTGTGCCTATGAAAGAAGTAAAGAAACAGAACACTCCATTTTCGTTTCTGGGCCTCCGAAAACGGAGGTGACGTAGGGAGTGACGTCAAGTGTGAAAGTCGGTATTGGTACTATTGAGGACATCTAGACTCTGGTTACCGCGGTGGGTTATAACTAGGGTGTGTACTTTCTGGTGTTTATTCGTGAGAAAAATCGGCGGATGTTTTTCGGTGTTTATATATTTTCAAAACACCGGTGTATTTCGGTGGAACGTCTCACGACGAGGCTAAAATCGGTGATTATCGGTGAAAAAAAAGCGATTGATCACAGACAAAGATTTCCAATTTTATTCACATAGTTCATACACTCTTCTCTAGGAAGCAACTATTTCTCACACTTGGTTATTATAGTAGATGCAAGCATACTTTCATGCTTGCATCTACACGCAAGGAACGTGCTGCCCTCATGGCAGCACGTTCTTTGCGGTTCGCAACCCGCAATTATGAAAATGCGCGCTCCAGTACGACACGGACATTGGCAGTGTCTTCCAGGAACCACAGCAACCTCTGAATGCATGGCTTGCACCGACATCACTTGGCCAGACACAATGAGGAAAAGGCACGTGAGAGCCTACCCTCCACTGCGTTAATTTTTCCACAAAAGGGGCCATGGGAGACACAATAGGGGAAAGGCGTATGAAAGCTTAGCTTCCACTGCGTTCACTAGACGCTTTTGACCCCCAGAAAGGAGGGCGGACTGACGCCACCGGCAAGCCATGTATAAACACTGGAAGAATGCAGGATCCACAAAATAACACGTTTGACGAACCTCTACGGGGAAAGGGTTTCGCTAGGTCGAAAACTAGCAACGACCGGTGTTTTTCGGTTTCAACCAGGGCGAAAATATCCAACCACCGGTGTTTTTCGGTTTTAACCGATTTTATATTTTCTTCACCGACGGATGTTTATCGGTGTTTTTCGGTGAAAACCGGAAAATGCACACCCTAGTTATAACAGCGTGGTGGTGCAGTCGTTTCGTCGAATCTGTGAATATCAGGGGGGTAAAGGTGGGTGAGGAGGAGTGGCAAATCCCCTACGCCGACATCCTGGGTCCCGAGTGAAAGATCGCAAAAGAGAGCGACAGAACACAAAAGAAAGGAACCAATGTTGCCAGCTCAAGGACGACAGTTGCGATGGTAATCGCGAAGACTAAAAACTATCAGCAATATAAACAGTGATAATTTAACGTTGTAAACTAAGTTCTGAGCTATTCTAGAGCTTATAAAAAGCAGTACACTCATTACGCTGCATTAACTTCCTTTCTGTCGAAATCTCGGAAATCTGGTGTTTGCTCGGTTTCGTATTCCTGGGGCGCGCCCGCTCTCGCCCCACCCACGAGGACGGTTATCTGGTTTAGTTTAGCATTGACACGAGGCTGTACATCTGCGCGCTATGCAAAAAGAAAGCTTCGAAAGGAACGCGAATATCTTTCCACCGGTAAGTTCGCGGATCATTAAAGTTCATGAAACTGCTCTGATGATATAATTATTTTCGTGAAGTCGAAAGCAGCTGGTAACAATGTGTGGGACCCCGAGGGTCTGCCTGCGTGTTCCGCTGCTTGCGGCAGCCAGAATGCATGGGAAAATGGCGGACTTTTTCCTCTAGAGTTAGTATGTATGACCTCTGGTGAAAATGGACGGTATGATCTCTATGATGGATGGCAATGCCGCCCTTGCGAGCGAGTTCGAGCTTCCGTTCAGTGACCTAACACCAACGGAACGGTAGTATGTGTGTGGCGGCCTCCGCCATCACCCGACGGAGACCGCCCAGCCGGCAATGAGCGGCCCGCATGCCGAAGGACGGGGGGGACGCTCCCCAAGAAGGGAAAAATAAACTTTCTGTTGCTTTTTTACTAAAGCATTTTTTTTTTATATTTTAATAACGGAGTGTCAAATGTTGGCATAGGCAGGCTATAAAAGGACTCTAGCTTGGTCTCTAGACAGATGATTGAGATATCCAGACTCCCCGATTGGAGCTTAGGCCCGATGGGTCAAACTTTTGCCGAATCAAAGATGAAGCGCCGAATTTTAGGATTTGGCAAAGCCAAAGCGTTGCCTAAGTTTTCTAAAGATTTGGCAACGATGGATGGATGGGTGGTAATGGCTATACCCTTTGTAATGGGCAGCAGCTTGCACCACCTAGCCTAACATTTCACTGCGACGTTCCTTTGGGAGCGACCGCCCTGATGCAAAAGGGTTTTGGTGCTACTGAATACTGATAAATCCCCTTTTTTTTTTAATATGTATAAATTTTGTTATAACACAACCCATCCCCCGCTTTTTTAAAGTGATTCCATTGCTTATTTTCATGTGTATTTTTTTTTTACTTCTCCCTAGGTCCTTTCCACCAATCTTCCAATCTCCTCTTAGTTACCGCAATTCTTTCCCTATCAATTCGTCCATTCATGTCTATAAATCCCAGTGCTTCCTCCAAATCCATACAGTCATCCCCCCGTCCCCAAGAGGGTGGGACGAAGCCCATGCACCTTAAAATTATGTGCTCTATAGTTTCCCTTTCGTGGTTGCATATGTTGCATAGAGTGTCAATTTTCTTGAATTCAGCCCTATATGTTTTCGTTCTTAGCACCGCCGTTCTGGCTTCAAACAGTGAGGAGCTCCCCAATGAATTATCATAAAACTGTTCCTTTATTTCTTGTTTTTGTGCCCTGTGTATTGTTAAAGCTGATTTCCCCTGCATTCTCTCTTCCCACAATTTCCTCTCTGTTTCCTTTACTCCCTTTTCTACTGATATACTCTGATCAGCGCCATCTCGTTGAATGTATTTAGATCTCAGCTTGCGGGTTTGGTTTGTCCACTTAGTGTTTAGACTTTTCATATATAGATACTTGTACACTTTCGCTGCCCACCGTGTATCATCAATTTCAGCTAGTGGTTCAAATTTTACTTTACTGATCGCTTCTCTACTCTCGGAAGATGCCCAACCCATATCCCCCTGTACTCCCTCATTTGGTGTATTCCCATGTGCCCCCAATGCCAACCTACCCACACTCCTTTGCTGTATCTCTAAACCTGCCTGAATTTCTGACCTCATACACAATACCGCATTCCCAAATGACAGTCCTGGCACCATGACTCCCTTCCACACACCCCTGACGACTTTATATATATATATTATAGTTCCATAGTGCCCTGTGTTTCATAATAGCTGAATGTCGTTTCCCCTTCCTTATTACAATATCTTCATGTTCTTTTATATACCGTCTTCCTTCATTTAACCATACTCCCAGATATTTGAACTTTT